GGCTCTGGTTTCGCTGTTTGAATGAAAACAACATTATATCTGTCAAGTTCCTTCGCCAAAGAAAGCGGATGCAAATAAACTCTCCCCCCCCCCCCTCCCCCGCCGAGAACTGACTTTCAGAACGCTGCTGACTTTCAAAATTACCTAAATGGTTATAAGACTGTGTAAATGTCTTCTTTTCATTTGTGAATTGAGTAGTTTCAAAATTCGTCGAAGATAGGAATGAGCCCTGTAGAAACCTCTTTTTCTCGAAATTTTTGGATTATATCCCTGCTAAGGTTTTGGAATGCACCATAGAAAAAATTATTTGGGGGCGTGGCTAACGCCGTGCATTCATTCGGAAGAAAATCTCTCGCCCCCTAAAAAAAAACTGTCCCCACTGGTAGCCATGTGGTAAGAGCTTCGTGTAGAAATTCTCGTCAACATTGAAGGGAATCCCAGACGACCGTCATCTTTGATCATTCATGGTTATTGATTCACTTTTTAACACAAACATTCCATAGAGCTTGTCGTTCGGGCATGATTGGCTTTTCACGAGCATTTCCTTTCTGTCCCTTACGTCGAATTCGTGCCCGATGAACAAAGAGCGGGTTTTTTTTCTCAAATCAAATTAGCATGCAAAAGACTAGTTCGAGCTTGTTCTTAATTAGATTGGTCTCTTAAGTGATTTTGGACTTCATTAGGCTTAGATGACGTGCTTATCGTCTAAATTGCCATGCTATATTTTTTTGTTTTCGACGTCATCACAATTTCAAATGAAAAATATTAATCAACTAAACCATTTGTTCACACAAAGTCACGCTGACCCACTGCCTGTTCTTGTATCGAACTGCTTTTATTTACAGTTACTACTCATAGATTTCCCTATACCCTTCAAGCACCCTCAACCTTCCCCGCTCCATTGTAAGAGAACCCACCACGTAGTTACCCATATCCATCCGCGGCGGTGCGGAACGCTTGGATCCGAAATCCCCCCCCCCCCCCTCGCCGAAAGCGTGACACGTCTTTGTCCTCGGACAGCATTTACCCACCGCTCGCCCCGTCATCGAGATGGGGGTTCGTGTGTGGAGAGTACGAAACCGGCCACTGCGTTCACATTGCGCAGTTCTCATCCGAACACTTCCCCCTAACGCGTACATCGATTTAGGGCTTTATCCGCTCCCCCTTACAAGGACCGGTTCAAATGGCTTTTCTGATCGCGCACATTGTAGTGGTGGTCAGCTCCTCTGTCTTCTCTGCACAAAGTCTTTTATCAAGTGTGGCCTAGTGGATTTTGTGCGTTGTTGTGTGCAATTGCACAACTTGGCGTTTGCAGCAATCATTGCTTATTCTATAGCTAGTGACTCAAAACCACTCTTAACACGTTAGAAATGGCGCTTTGTCTTCGGAATATTTTACTACGTAAAACAGAAGAATTTCGAGCCTGTTAGACAATTTGTGTGTGTAAAATTCAATGTTTTCTCAAAGATGTATAGGCTATTCATTGCACGCAAAGACTGTGGACAAGGTATCTTTCTGAATGAGCACTCTTTCGTTTCTCTGACCATCTGCTGTCTCTCCCATGCACGAACTATCTTGGCCGGAAGCAACGCGCCCAGTCTGTGCGTGTCATGAATCGATGTTGCCTTTGCCGCGTCAAAACCAATAGCCAGACATGGAAGCACTATCATAGCACATTTTTAGAGTATATTGCGCTCAAGTGATGAAAAAAAGTACAATGCAAGGTTGTCACAAAAAGATATACGTCTCGTTTGTAGGTGCACTTCTCTTGTGCATTGCACAAATTTGCAGCCGACTATACTCGAGTATAGTCTGTCATTCACTACACTGCACACCTCGTAGGTCATAATAATCAGTGATTTTTGTTTACCCCTACTTTTCACTTCCTCGAAGCCTCCTCTGCGATGTGAACCAGCAATTTTTAGCAGTTAAATCAAAAGTAGTTCAATATTAAGGACCGTAGGTAAGTAAATTAACTCGAATGTCATCGCTTTTTGGTCGCATAGAATTTGTGATTTCGAAATCTGATGAATTTCTTCCATGAAGAAAGCTGGTATTCAATTGCGTGGGAAAACTGAAGGGAAATACCTTGTTCGAGAACTTTTCAGAACATAAGCACAATGCGAAAAGACCCCTTCATCAAACACAAATAAATGCTTTTTATGGCATATTGTGCGATTTGCATAACAGTCGCACATCGCTCGCTTGACTGCATAATGGTTTGGTCTTTTGTTGTTTGATGCATAGAACTTTTGAACCAGCAGAATCCCCTATATTTTTTTCAAATTTGATCGAAACTCCCATCGCAAGTTTCTATACCATAAAAACATAAATGATTGGCTAATTTATCGTCATATTTGCACGAAGGGCTTCATACTCAAATCAAAATATTAGGAAGAGTTATGTCCAAAAATCATTTGCAAACGAATCTTTTTATATCGAGCATTTCCATTTAAGTACTTTGATTTTCTCCCACCCCGAAAAGAAAAATGTCAATAATAGACCACGCAAAGAATTGTTCAAAAATTTCACGAATGATAGTGGCGGACCGAGACCCACACCCCCGAGAATGGGTCGCGAAATTTTTTACTTATATGGGTTATAAAAATGTTCAAGGGGCTTGTTTATTCTTATAAACAATCAGAATAATTTTCAAACTTTTCAAAAAGTCAAATTAGCCTTATAAAAAGATTTTTTCGGGGGCGCTCCCGCTACGCCTCTTTTTTCTAGATTTTAGGGGTTATGGACCCGCCAAAATTTTGAGAAGCACCTCAAATTTTCGGAGTGCGTAGCTAACGCCACGCATGTTCATTTGAAACCAATTCTTACCGCCCTCCCCTCCCCCCCCCCCTTCCCGCCCGGAGCGGAATTTCTGCGACCGCGATCTGTGATTTATACATATGTATACCCAAATCTTTCAGAAGCTAACGAGTTGTGACAGTTGAAAAGTCTCAACAATTTACTGATGAAATCAAGTATAGCAGTACTAGCCATTTCTAGGGGAAAACCAGTCAAAAACAAGCGAACTCAGCTGTTCACAGTGTTTGCAAACACAAAAGCGATCCCTAAGCACAAGGTCACCTGCTGCACTTGGATTTTGCTGAACTCTTCTTCAGAAATCAATAGAAAAACATGTTCATCCACTTCAGTGAGCATCACTGTGCAAACAGAAACGACAAGGGGTCAATAATAGATGTCAGTAACTCGATGGGGTTTTTGTCATATTTCTGATGGCCTATATTCAATGGCATTTAATCTTTTGTGTTCGTCTATGGCTCTCAGACCGTGAGCTGTGTGTTTCTTCTAAAATGATTGTACCTATATCTGCCATGCAGAACATTTTATGCGAAATCGATGATTTTATGACTCCCAGTAGAGTAATTTTCACATGGAATGTTACGGCTCTGTACTGCCCTAATAGCGTACAGTAATTAGAGGCAGAGTTAGGAGCATTTTCTCTTGAAACCATCCCCAAATTCTAAGTTTTTACAGTAAATCTGATCAAACGTATTACATTTCTTTTTCCCACTGGAATTTAATCCCAGTGGACAACTGTTCCCTTTGTTTTTGATTCCACTTACTGGCCAGTGATATAACTTTGTGGTATTCTCAATAGCATAGCTACCTGTTTAATACGACTCTGAATTCCTTGAGAAAGCCAAACTCAAAACCGAATGAACAGGCTTACCAAAAAACAATATTTTGTTTCACTTTCATCTTTCCTATAACTCCCTCCCCCCCCCCCCGTCCGGATTCGATGACCAAAAACTTCTAAAAATAATGGAAATCTCGTTGCCATTCGAACATGAGCAATGCTGCATGGGCGTGGCGCGAGCGGCCAACCAGCCGAAAAAGCAACTTTTGGGTTACGTAAATAGCGCGGCTTTGAGCTCACCCTCAAGAGATCTGAAAGTGACAGAAAACTTGGAATCTTGAGTTTTCAAATTTTTATTAATGATTTTAGTCTTTTGTTTTTATCGCATCAAAGGATCTTTTTTGTTGAACCGCGATTGAATAAAATGAAAGCCCTGCAAATTCTGGTTACCCAGGACTACGGTACTTTCGTAATACCCATGCCACCTCAGCAATGATTGTGAAATGTTAACCGACGTGTGCTAAGGCACTGACGCTCTCTCAAGGTCGAGCACTTTCTTGCAACGAAATCTACGCCCAAATGTGTAAATTTGCCGACTCTTAGGTGTTCTTTCTTCACGCTTACCCTTCTACCAAAGTTCTCCTGTACTCGATTTCCACCCAAATTTACACTGTCACGATCTCCAGCAAAAACCTAGCGGAAGTTCTCTTGAAGCGTCTGCAATTCATATTCGCTCTAAGTAATTTCAAAGAAAAACATTTAGGCCTTTGTCGATATAAAATAATAAGATAATCCATATTTGATGCGAAGTTTCTTTTTTTCTTTTGCTCAAGACTTTATACCTGAAGAAGCTAGAGAAGAGTTAAGAAATTGTCTAATGATTTTCATTAATAAAATCGCCATAACTTCTACTTGACTGGCTCTTTTACTCGTTAAGTCAAACTTTTTATTTTCGGGGAATCCCGTAAAAATGAAGGGTAGCTCTTTTCTACACCGATTTTTTTCTTTGAAGGATGTCCATTTCATCCCAATTTTCTATTCTCCTCCTTTTTCTTTCGCTCTGTTTCTTTTATTTAACACCAACACAGAAAATATTAGGATGAGGTAAACAAGATCCAGTTTCTTCTCTCCACGTTTAAGAAGGCAATGGTGTCAAAAAATCGCCAAGTTCAGCAATATTAGGTAGATCATGACGATTCATCTTCGGGACTATTAATTTTACGAGAAAATCCCCGAGCAAGTTCATCCTCACGATCATCGTGACATAGACGCCCACTCCAGCTATCAGCTCAGACACAAGAAAAAAGAAAAGAAAAGGCAATGAGTTGGAACTTCCGTCACGAACTCCTTTTTTCTTTTACGGACATCTTCGCCTACAGTATCGTCTAACTTCTTAAAGCTCACTTCACCCTCTCTATCCGATGTATTTTCAGATTTCTAACACTTATTAGAGCCCATGCTTTTGCGGTGGTTACTAGCATCAGCATGTTTGTGCCTAATACGAATAGCAGGCGCCGATTCACTCTACGAACCCAGTGACCCAATTTTGCAACTGGAACTGGACACCTTCGATGCAGCTGTATATAACTCGGTACGAGGCTTTGTTTCTTTTTGCGTATGTTTGACAAAAGAGTGCACTCATGCATGGTGCATTCGCAAAGGACATGTATGCAAATAAAACGGTCATCGATTGCAGAAGAAAGCGCATTTTGTTGAATTCTATTCGAGCTGGTGTGGAGCATGTATCGGCTATGCACCAACTTACAAGCAGTTTGCCAAGTTTGTATTTTTCCCATCTTCTTTAAGATTTCAATTATTATATGTTTGCTCTAGGCAAATAGCTTCATGGAAGCCTTTTGTCGAGGTCGTGGCTGTCAACTGTGCAGATGACAAAAATATGCCTTTATGTCGTGATCACTCAATCAGCGGATTCCCAACTGTGAAGGCAAGTGAATACTTTATATTGCTCTACTTGACGGGTGTCCTCGTAAATGATAAACCATCTTTGATGTCTTATAGTTTTTTCCCTGCTCAGAGTGGCTAATCTAGCTGAAACTGTAGGATTGATTAGAATTTTTCGGTCATGATTATCGAATCATCTGTCTGATAATCATCAAGCTGATGCAAGAGATTTACCAACAATTCCCAAACTAATAGGGTTTTGGTGATCAGTTTTTATACTTATGTTTGTTGCACGTAGTATTCGTAAGAAGGAAAATGCAAAATTTGAAGGGCAGTGCTTATCGTAGCGTATTTTTACCGAACAAAATCAGGGTTCTCGTATTTCAGTACTTCAAGCCTCGCTCAACTAGTAAAAATGATGGTGTGGTATATCGTGGAAACAAGTATGAGCTGGACAAAGTGGAAAGAGACATCGCGACTTTTGTCCATGATGACTACAAACAAATGAATCACGAACTGTTGCCCATGTTTGAACCTGTTGATAACTCCAAAACATTAGCTGATATGTGGAATACTGCTGGTCCTGCTAACTTCTTGGGAGTAATGGTCCAGGAGAATCCTGCATCTATAGCATGGGCTGTAAGTTGTTTTTTTTGCTCTCATAACTCTTAATGTAGTTCTTTTTGAGCCACATTAGCCTATGTTGAATGCGGCTTGCTTTACTTTTCTCCTTTCAGCTTGCCATGAACTTCCACAATGATCGTAACATCCGCGTTGTCCTAGCACGTCCGCAGCATCCCGAAGTTTCAAAGCAGCTAGGACATGATGCTAACAACCGTTTCATGTTGTTCCACCGCGGAGAATCAACTCCAGTCTGGACCAGCCCGTGAGTAATCATGTAGTTTTTCTAATCACATCCCAACCAACGTCATTTCAAACCTTTCATGTGAATGACCATTAGACTTTCGATTAGGGTGGTTACTTTGTCGTTAAGACTTGTGTTATCAATTTTTTTCTGTTGACTTCATCAATTGGCGAAAGCAAGAGCGCCGTATGCTTGTAATGACACAAATTTAGAAGCGACGCAAAGTGGACCGATATCCATGATAAAGTTATGGAATTTGTCACTCATGTCGCTGCTCCTCCAAAAGGCGAGAAGGTGGCTATTCAAATTCATTTTGTTTGTTTTTTTTGTATACAAAATTTTATAGACACCCGCTGTCGAACCACAAGCTCCTGCTCCTGCTGCAGAGATCGACATGTCACAGTACAGAGTCGAATTGGCTGATATGAAGAGCACAATAAGCTACATGCTTTTCCAGGTAATTCTTCTACTCTTGACTACGTTCTTTGTCGCCCGCTGAAAGATCACTTTTTGTAATAAGTTCCTATCGACAGAATTCCGTTTTCTTCAGGAAATTGCGAGACAGCAGGTCGTTGAAGGAGAAGATTTGGCTGGACTCAAGTCATGGATCCATGCAGTTAGTAAAGTGAGTGGCTTGGATTGAAATGATGTAGAGAAGTTTTGAACTCCACTTTGATTAGAAGCATTCCTGGCATCTGAAAGATTGGTAAACATTTGTTTTTTTGATGACTCAGTCACTCCCTATAGCGATGTACACATTAAAATGTTGTATCTTTATTAGCAGTAACTTGACATCACCCGGCAGTGCCTTGCGCAATTTAAAGATAGCAAATTATTGTTACACTTTGGTGCCCTTTCAAATAAGTAGAATGAAATCCACCAAATATGCAAGAAATGAATACATTCTGCAAATACATTCACCCAGATAAGGTATTTGTTGCGGAGACACATATTTAGAAGCGCGACGAACTTTCTATTATGACAATTTTTTGCTTTAGTATGCTCCCACCACCACTCCCATAAGACGTCTTTTGTATCGTATGGATCAGTGGCTACAGAATCAAGGTCCCAGCATGAGTTATGAGGACTGGACAAGGAAACTGGAAGAGGTCCACGTATGTGCTGCTAGACTTTGACTTTGACTTTCGCCCTAATTCAATTCAAAATGAACATTTAAGACCGATCTTGGAAATCCTTTGCCTAGAGAAATTGAGTGGGTTGCATGCAAAGGTTCCAAGCCTCATTTTCGCGGATACACTTGTGGTGTCTGGGTATTGGCACACGCTATGGCAGCGGAAGCATACAAACAAGAAGCCAACAGTGAGTTCCGCGCTCACGTATGTAGTACAATCGTTCTAACGTATTTTTGTACAGACGCTACATTCAAACCTGTCGAAGAATTTTTGGACCCATTTTATCATTTCGTCGTCAAGTTTTTGAGCTGTGAATGGTGTGCCAAAAACTTCAGAAAAGAGGCTGTCAATTTCAAGATGAAGGAAGTTGCTACCAGAGGTATATAGCTTAAATGCCATTTTCATGATTAAAAAGTGGAGACTGATTCTAACCACTACTTGCAGAACAATTGGTTATGTGGTTATGGCGCGTACATAACTTCGTCAACAAACGTCTATCGGGTTATCATAGCGACGATCCGAAATTCCCCAAGAGACAATTCCCACCACCGGTGTGTCATATTTCCCTGCCATTGTTTGAATAGTGCATAGCTTTACTTTGCGATTATCTTTCTATTTCTGATGTCTCAAATTTCGCATCTCTCTTTACAGGTTCTGTGCAGCCAATGCTACACTCCAGATGGTGCTTTCGATGAGGAGGAAGTGTTGAAGTTCCTAGTCAGATACTTCAGCGACATCCGGCAAGACTCCGTTCAGGTACGTTGCTTTGTCAGCACTGCTACCCGCCCCGCTTCTGTGCCGCACCAGCAGGCCGCTTTCTTTATTTCCACTTCAGCTATATAAGAACTTAAGATATAAATCATATATAATGTTCTTTCTAATACCTTTGAGCATGCGATTTCTTTCTTTATGGGAAAGGTGGAGGTATTTTCGTATGTAATGCATCTGCACATTGGTTATGATCAACGTATTTTCAGCTTTGAAGCGTTTCGCGTCAACTGTGCTGATCTAACGCTATAGCTTCAGTTATATTTTGCTATAACAAATTGCGTCAAATTGCGTAAGTCGCACGAAGCCACAGCGGTACTCAACTTGGCAGATATTTTGTAACAACTACTGTCCAGTACAACACTCAAACGGCTGTCATCGCCTCTCCTTTCGCTATCTTGGCAAATCAGCAACGGTTTGGACCATCAAGTTTTGCCAATGACCTATGCAGATTTAATAGCAAACGCCTTGTCGCAAAGTCTTGGAAGTCGGTTAGGTATGAGTAGTTAGGCTTACACATAGAATGTGAGGAAAAATATGAAAATTTTACTGTGAAGCTTGCAAGTTATATAAACAATGCATGCATGAGTGACAAAAGCAGGCGCAAGCAGAATCAGTCGGTCTGCTTCCCGCTGCATTATTCTAGGGATGGTTATCTTTACGGCGTTATATTTTTTATTGCAAGTGCCTAACAACCCACTGAATTAATAACCTGGCATGCCTTCGGTATTCGATAAGTGAATTTATCAAGGATGCACATTTTTGACTTCTAACGCTCAATCACATGCATCGTCGTGGACGTTGTCTGCTTGCATGCTAAAGCACTAGTCGCGGCTCTAGAGTTTCTCGATATACCCGTGCTTTATAAGGCCCCTCCCGAGTACAAAGTGAACGAGTATAAGGACGGAAAACTTCAGGCCGTCGGAGCGCGTCACCTCAATCCGAAGTTTGCTGTTCATGCAGAGAAGGTACTTCTCCTACCATTTTTCATTGGACTGCTATTAGTATCGCCCTGAATTTGATTTTCTTAAAGGTGAGTAACCTGGAAGAGGCAGAGGAGCGTCTAAGAAAAGAGATTGACGCTAGCCCGCAAAGACAATGGAGAGATATTGAAGGATATGGTTTGTTAATATATCAGTGACTTGTGCGGGCACTTCCTCTATTCCTCTGTTTATCTTTTGTACGGTTTGATTGTTACCACATATATATGTGTTTGTTTAGAAAATCTGAGCACCTCAGGTCGGACACAGTTCTACTTTATTTGGTTGATGGTTATTGGAATTGTTATTGTCTTCGCTTACTGCAAATACCGAAGGAATCGATCGAAATTTTGGAAGACGTTCTACTACCACAACGACTTCAAATTGTGAATTCCTATTGCATTTGTACATTTGTTTGTGTGAGAGTAATTTATTCGTTTCATATTTATATTGCAATGCTGTTTGGAATTTTTTCCTTGGGGTTCAAATTTGAAATGTGATTATGGTCGCTTCAAGAAGGGTTACATATTTAATTAGGTAATGCTATATAGATTCTGGTGTCAGTTCTTACTTGGTGCCGGCCATCTATGTTCGAAACTTATAAGGATTTTTGCTCCTCTTGATCGTAAGGTGTGGTTTTCTCATGTTTGACTGATGTCGCAAAGAACATGTACAAATTTCTACTACTATCTGGTGAAACGAAACTGAGACAACAGCTTCCATGGAATTAGAGTTTGGCCAGCTTGGCATTCTTTTACCGAATGGACATAATTTTTTGAATGATGAAGTGGGGGGGGGGGTTAATTCAATCCACAGCCAGCAACAACTTTTTTGGTTTGCGGATAATGGCTTTGTTGTGTAGCACATCATTGATCAATATAAATCACACGTTTTATTGTGCATATGCCTTTGATTCTAATATGTCATGTATGCTCCGAAGGGAATTATTTCGAACATGACGTTAAAAGGTGGCCGGTATCAAGGAGGACAAGTATCTCTTTATTCACTACTCAAATATGGTTTCCCCCCTATCCGTATAGGTGCTTTTTGTTAGGTTGTGGCCTTTGCTGTTGTATAGTGGTCCCGCAATTGAAACTGAACTTACATTATCATAGTGGTAATTGCTGCTGGCAAGTCATTGTTTCACCTCTTGTGATGTTACCCAAATGATAACATTCGAATCTCTTGAGCAAATATAGAATGAACTTTCTGAGATAATATTGAAGATTTATGAATAAATCAAAAAAACTGTTTTTTACTAGTTAGAAATGTGTTTGACATTGACCCATACTTTGTGCATTCCAGATGCCCGTGGTCGTCGGACTCAACCGGTAGGAAATATGCGGCTTAGCATAGCGCAAATCATTAGTATATAGCGTTGTTATACGTAGTGTTCTCCTTGTTGTCACAAACTGTTGACGTTGTTCTCATGTTCAAAGTTGTTTTGTGTCAATCTCTTGTCAGCTATCACTTTAGTATTTATTGAAGTTGAGTCTTTGTTGGGTATCGATTCCTCGATTGTTCATAATATCTGATACGCAGTAATACGAGTTTCTAAAATTATGTGCTTGTAAAAAAATCTTTTATTTTTCTCGTGATAATAATGACCAGTAAACGGATGTACATGCGTGTTCTCATCACACTGGATTCAGCTCGCAGAATGCGCCTAAGGGTTTTCTTCTCGAAAATGTGTGTATGGCGCAATGATATCCTTAGCCAGCTAGCAGCGGTGGATGAGCAAGTATCTGAGGAAATTCTTCACCCTTGCTTTGAATGATGTGGCTAATCAAGTGAGTCAAATTCTCTTAATAAGCATCGTTTACCTTCCTCTTAGTTAGTTCCGCTACAACTGCAAACGTGTTTTGTGCCCATGCTCGTCATTGCAGTGTACAATGGTTCTAGAAAGACCAAAATTGTCCGGCACCTACTTTGAAAACGGTCATTCTGCATGTTGGCTACAAGCAAATGCTCTAAGTTGTGCTTGGAATTATAGGCTGTACGAGATTTCCATACGATTACGTAGGTACTGTAGAAGATCAGAAGCACCTATCATTGAAAAAAGCATTAACAATTACTTGATAGCGGTACCGTGCAGCATTAAGGACTTATAGCCTACTAGAATTGACTTAACAGCAATGTGTCAGTCAACGGGAGAGGTTTATCTCACAGAGGCTCACACCCGAAAATTGATAATGTGCGTTTGCTAAAAAATGCGTGGGGGGTTTTTTGGGACAACTGATTGCGAGCACCACATTGACTTCGCGAAGGAAGTGCGAGGTTAAGGAGCACCGTTCAAAACAGCAGTTTGAAACTTCGCCCGAAAAGGATCATCGCAAACTGTTTTAAATATGCATCGGCTGTATTGTCTTCAACCCGGACTGGGGTGCAGCCAACATGAACGATAGTTTGTGCGTAAGCGTTTCCTATCTACGCTGTGATGATCTTCAGTGATGATCTTCAGGAGTTTAGAAAAAACGCTGGGGACTGTATATACCTCAACTCTTACTGTTGGACAACATTCTCAATCCAATAAAAACATATCGCTCCAAAAAAAGACTTTAGGCGCGGTGTATTGACAACCGCAGGAGTGTAGCATGCTTATTCCTATCTATCCTTCATCTTGTCGTACAATCACCCGAATAAGGCAAAGATTTCCTGTGATTTTGTGCATCGGCTTCGTTGCAAGATTTGCGAGCGCTCAGTGCTGGTAATAAGCCAAAGGTCAAGGTGAGGAGACGCAGAGCTAGCGAAATCCACGATAGGTTTTAGAGTAAGTGGGCTAAGCTACTGAGGGAAAACGGTTAGCCTATCTGAAGTATAATCCATTAGTAGATTCTCCGTTCACTGCTTACTCGCTGCCCCGACCTTACTCGTTGTCCTGAAATAAATTAACTGGAGAGCGCGAGGTGGCACAAGCAATAGTCACGAATTCGATAAGTGCATGATAGAAGATGTTAGGATAAAATGTAATAAATTATAACCTTGTTGGAAGGGTGAGAGCTTCAGACTGCAAAGGCCCGGAATAGCAGCGGCTGAATGGTCGGCTACCGTATTCGTCAAGTTCAAATGCGTTAGCTGCAGTCCAATATAGACTTTTGATTACGTGGCCCTGTCGTTGTTTGTTTCCACAAAAGTGGACTTGGTTGACATTTTACCCTCCCTAACATATCGCAATCTGGTGTTGGCTGTTCTACCAAATAGCCATAAAAGTCCCAAACATTCTGTGTGACGTAAACCAAAGCAGTCATTCGGTGAAGTATTATATCATTCAAGGTAAAAGTGAGATGTGTGTTGCTAGTGTCATTTTCAAGAATTTCACCAATCAATACCCCACGCAAAGTCCTATGTACCATACATCTAGGGCTATAGTGAAGTCTGAAGTCGAAAAGCTGAAATGAGCTTGAGTTAAGATGCTTGAGGCCAAACAATCTAGTGCAGTAATCTAAGCAACGACAATTTTTCTCGCTTTCAAGAATTATTCCAAACTTTGTAAATATGATGCAACAAGTAAGCGTATAAACAAGATTTTCGATGTATTCAAGCAATAGCATTGTTCAGAAGCGTTTAGAGACGCGAATTTTGCATCACAAAAAGGATGATGTTTTTTGGTCAGTTTATGTAAAATAATCCCAAAATGTTTGGCATTTGTCAACATAACATAAGCATGATGTTCAGGCATTCAAACTAGACTTCCTAATACGACAGCCTAACTATCGTGTGAATCAACAATAAAATTGATTGTCATTATCGTGCAATACCAACAAAAATTGTCTGGCACATCGGAAACAAAATATATTGAATAATAGGCCCTCCTCTGGTGGGAAGCAAGTTTGACAAAACGAAAAGCGCTCTTACGCGGTATGATGGAAATGGAGCGGCTTATGGTGTATTGAAGTCTTTTAATCCTTCGCGTGAATCCAGCCCCATGGCAGTGAGAAGTCCATTTTGAACTAGCACTAGCTTGCGGGTTCACTGTTTTATTGGTGTTATAGTAACGTGCGCTTGAGCAAGGGAATGCAGAAATGAGAACATTTAGAGCGGTAATTCATGGTGATACATGAAATTTTGTCCCCCTATATTTTCTTTTTCAAAAAGTAATAGTTGTTTAGTATGCGATCCCTGCCAAGTCGATGACAGGATGGGTGTTGACTAAGCATTGGGCTCGCAAAACGGATCTCCTCAATAAAGCAGTTGTCGACAGTCTTGGTATACGTAAAGGTAAAATTTAGCATACAGAGTGTCCTGAAAATGTGCACACTGTTTGATCTTTGATAACTCTCCTGCAGTAGTTCGCACAATTTTAGGTACCATTTTGTAGAGCCTTCAACTTACAATTAGATTTAAGCATGGAGCGATTCACATAGCTCTTCGTTGCTGTATGATTACGGTAAGGACTTCAGTATACAGAATCAGAGTGAAATAGACCGTCTAACATAATTTTTCTCAGAAAATCTGAAGAATTGTGCAACAGCGTTTTCGCACATGCTGATTTCACTACATAATTTTTTACAGCTTATTTGGGCTTGTAATGACATTTTTAACCAATATTTGAGAAGCACTTGTAAGGTGTAACTGAGGTAACTTAGGAAAGAACCACCACAGTAAAGTGCAATTTCATACTCGGACGACTTTGATTAGTCTAGTGTAAATCTTTTTGGCTTGTTTGGTTTTTTTTTTCTGAGGCAAATTAGCTCTAAAGGTTTCAGTCTTCATCAATGTTCCTACCGTAATCCTACAAGAAGAGTATCTGCTTCTTACTTCAATCTACAGTGACTTAGAGCCAGCTCTACAAAAAGGTACCTAAAGATCGCCGAAAGACATAAACGCGAGGAAGTTATAAACGGTCAAATGGTTTACATACATAGATTTATATATTTATAAATGTTTACATATAAATACTTCATAGCACAAAAGTATTAGGTTGTAACAGAATTAATGCAGGTTTTTCGTACAATTATTTCAGAATTCTCGTTTAGAATAAGAAACCATTTTCATAGAAAGCTTCATATGTCATTTGAAACCTCTTTTCTTTTATTTTCTTACGCATTCTTTTGTTTTGATGGAAATGAATAGATTTAAAAATTTGATGCCTTTAAAGTTGAGAGGCCAAACCTTAGAATTTTTTCTTTCGATATTCTTGGCTCTAAAACCGGTACAAAACGTTGGAATTTATTGCAAATTTACACAGTGTTCTTCAGTGAATTATGCTACAAAATGCATGCTGAATCATAACTCAAGATAGTTTCTGAGCTGAGATGTTTGAGAGCAAAATTCAACGGTCGCTGTCGTCCATCGGCCCTATACAAAAACCCTCAGGAAAAAGAGATTGCGGAGCTTTTGCTGTATTTGGGAAGAATAGACTTAAGACATTGATAACTTGAAATACCGGGTGCCGTTCTTCCTTTACAGCGCAAATAATCCAAAATTTTCAAAAAAACAATTTTTCACCTCTCCAGAAAAATTGAGAAAAATGAGTACTTTCATTTATAAAGTTCTAGCGAAAATCTCTTCGTAAAACTCCAGTTCAGCACCGCATTACTATCGACTATATGCTACACAATAAGTAATGTCTGGGCTACCTTACTGCATTTGAAAGTAAGTTATGATTTCTCAAAGTGAAGGTTTTCCAAAAAATATCCTGGCAGTGTTCGGGTTATAAATTTTTTCTCGGTGAAGCTGAAACAACGCAATAGTGCAAACTTTTTTATTGCACACGAAAAGACTATCTGTGTAAAAAGATATGTGATCCAAACTCAAAAATCGAGGAACCTGCATTAATTCTGTTACAACCTAATAGTTGGGCGACCGAAAATCTGCGTTCTGATGTATCTTACCATGAAAGAATGATTATCATTGGCTGTATTAATTATAGCATTAGCACTAGCGATTGGAAGAATTAATTCTCTTGAAAATTTGGAGAAGGAGGGGAACAAAAGTTTTTTCTTGAAAATGCTAGCATTCATCCATCCGAAGAATTTCCTTAATCCAGTAATCAGTAATTTTACTTGAATATAATTGTGCCATTTTTGAAGTAAATATTGTAATATTTACATCATTTGTGCAGAAAAAGAGTGCAAGCTGTGAACGTGAAGATTGCATTTCAGATGACAACATATTAGAATTAGGATATGGGCGTGGCAATGCACTGCAGTACTGTTTTGATCGAATTGCGGAAGGTGAAGGCGTTGTGAGTCGTCTACTCTTGTTTGTTGGTTTTTTGGGAAATTGTAGCTAAATGTAAAGGTTCTATGTTTTTTCCCAGCGTTTGGTGATACAATTGTCAAAACTTTATATCATTGCTATGCACATGCTATTTACCTATTTAACAGGTGTTTGGAATTGATCGTTCTCCGTATATGTACGATTGTGCCCTGCACCGATTTGCATTGGAAATTGCCGAAACAGGAAAAATTAGACTTGACCATGTCAGCTCAGTTTTTTCTTTATTGCTTCTGTCACTGAAAATAAGTTCATTCATTCACAAGTTTAGGCTCCAGACCTACGCAATCTGCCGTACCCATCCGGTATTTTTGACCACATCTTTCACGTGGATCTCTTTTATTTTATACACCAAAATGTGATGAATGAAGTGTGTAGAGAGCTTTGGCGGGTTTTAAGACCTGGTGGAACGATAGTTTGTGGAATGCAATTTGAAAGGTGCGGTATATATCCAAAAAGTTATCTTTGTTTTACAAACTTGATTTAGATTGAAAAGACTATCACATTGGGGGTTGCTCGAAGAATCTCAGTGGGATCCCATGCGCTACATGACGTGCCTTGAACCTGCCGGGTTTGTTGATGTCAAGGTAATGTAGAGGATAGGCTCCTCTCGGCGCTAACACTTTTTAGAAAAAGTTTTGAGCAAATCTTTCTTTGTATTGAGATTGCTATAAGAAATGTTTGCGGCGGTTCTATGAAGAAGGAAACCGCAACCTCTTCGGACGTCCTTGATCTTTTACATAAAGTGTTGATAGAATTTTGGTGCTATGAAATAAATCATGACTACGAATAGGTACAATTTCATGCAGAAACACTTTTCAACATAGATCACTTGACTTTTGTCAGTATATGTGGTGCTGTACATATTGTAGCGTACACAAAATAGCCTTTTATTTGCTGTAAGTTGAGATGGTTTAGATTGAGTACAGATCAGACGCGAAAGTTGGCGAGTATCAGTTGGTCAAAGCAAAGAGACCGGCGGAGGACAAGGTTTGACGGCTTCTCATGTTCTGTTAATAATTGAATACATCCCTTAGGCCTTCGAAAACCCCGACGAGACAATGCGAGAGCTCGAAATACAGATCAAAAAGGAAATGCTTATAGCTGAATTGTTGAAAACTCGGCGAAAACTGACGAAGGAGGAGCAGGATATTTTAGACGAAGAGATCCCTTTGAAGAAATAACAAGACCTCTGGTCTTTTTCAAATCATTTCAGGGCAATTCTGGTCAATCCATTGTTTGATAGGAGTTTGTGGAAATAGGAAATTTGATGGCCCTTTGTTGTGTTCTGATGTTGTTTTAGCAAACTGCAAAGTGAAGACAAAAATTTTTTAGGCTACTTCCGATATTTTCTGACTTTGGCCAGGGTCTTCAAATGCGAGAAACAGTGCTTAGAAATTCTAAAAGAACTAATTCTGTTCCTTACAAGCTTGCGGTTCGCAAAAATTCTAGTTTTTTTTGCATTTTTCGGTTGGGCAGATAAATCTTTTTTTGAACTTGTACCAACTATCAGCTAAGTGTAAATCATAGTATCGACAATGTCTCTCACTGCAGTAGATGAATGAGTTTTGAATACTGCTTCTAGTAAACTCTTTAAGCGTTCTAATTAATTTTCTTAGTCCATTTATAAATTTCTGCTTCACTATCTCCTTATGGGAAGGAGAATTCATATTTCAATAAATCGGGGACTTTCTTCTTATTCTTGTCAACATTGCATAGTGCTTTGAAATTTCTCCTTTTCTTTACATATTTGCCACTCCTACAGTCGAATAGAACTCATTCATCTACTGCATCCACTGCGCTTAACACCTTTAGTGCAAGCACACTATATTAAGAGGAAAATCTACTTGGCTGTATATCTACGTATACAGGTTTCATGTTCTCAAGAGAGCGCAGCAACTCCATCCCCTCTCGCATACTTTTCTAAACTGACACAGCCTGAAAACTGCATCGCTGAACCACACTCAGAATTTATATAGATACAAGAGTAATCCATAACATAACATCTCCATAACATTCCCTACATCCCATCTGCATCAACATAGCGTTGCTTGACACCATGCTCAGTGGCCGCTGCAGCAGTGGAGTGGTGTTATTCCACAACGTTGCAGCAATTTCATCTGCATCAGCATAGCGTTGGTTGATACCATCCTCCAGGAGTGCTGCTCCGTAATCGCAATAGCGGAGGAGTGTTGTTCCACGGCTTTGAGGCAATCTCATCTGCATCAACATAGTGATGTTTAACACCATCTCTGTGACCGATGCACGAACGGAGCGGTCTTGTCCCACAACGTTGCGCAAATTTCATCTGCATCAATATAGTGTGCTTGACACCATCTCCCTGACCGACGCAGGAACGGAGCGGTCTTGCCTCACAACGTTGCACCAATTTCAACTGCATCAACATAGTGTTGCTTGGCACCATCCTCCACAAGTGTTACTTTGGCATCAACATAGTGTTGCTTGGCACCATCCTCCACAAGTGTTACTTTGGCATTAACATAGTGTTGCTTGACACCATCCTCCACAAGTGTTACTTTGGCATCAACATAGTGTTGCTTGACACCATTCTCCACTAGTGTTACTTTGGCATCAACATAGTGTTGCTTGACACCATTCTCCACTAGTGTTACTTTGGCATCAACATAGTGTTGCTTGACACCATTCCCTTGACCGACGCAGGAACGGAGCGGTCTTGCCTCACAACGTTGCACCAATTTCATCTGCATCAACATAGTGTTGCTTGGCACCATCCTCCACAAGTGTTACTTTGGCATTAACATAGTGTTGCTTGACACCATCCTCCACAAGTGTTACTTTGGCATCAACATAGTGTTGCTTGACACCATCTCCCTGACCGATGCAGGAACGGAGCGGTCTTGTCCCACACATTGCACCATTTTCATCTGCATCAACATAGTGTTGCTTGACACCATGCTCCGTGACTGCTGCAGCATCGAAGCGGTGTTGTTCCACAACATTACAGCAATTTCATCTGCATCAACATAGCGTTGTGACACCAACACCGCTCCACAAGTGCTGCTTCTTGAATGCTGCAGCAGCGGAGCGAGAGATTGTCGCAGTGTTGTGGAACAATACTGCTCCGCTCCTGCAGCTGACTCGAAGCAGCACTCGTGGAGGATGATGTCAAGCAACACTATGCATTTGCATCAAAAGAGCGTTGCTCGACTCCAGCAACGCTCCATATATGCTGATTTGTGACAGATGCAGGAGCGGGTTGTTCCACAACATGTCGACATTTTCATTTGTATCATCATAGTGTTGCATGACACCATCTTCCACAAAGGCTGCTGTTATTATGCCAGTGTGTATCTGCATCAACGTAATACTACACAACTTAAAGCGTACACCCAGGATCTAGCTACCCAGTTCTCTACTCGGTGTACATGTAGGGCCCAGAAAAAGAACAACTGCATTGGTGCAGTCTCTCAATGTTGCCTCTAAGGGGAAGAAACGCGCCTGATCGTTTTTGTGCTTCGCCCCTTTTTGCGGTCCGCCTCCTTCGGGCGAATCCACGACAGCTTAAGCTGTAAGCGTACGCTACAGTAGGAGTCGTGACTGCACAGGCTTTCAGGCAAATGCAGCTTCTCCTCGCTGGCATGCGGACGGCTCGAGCAATTCGAAACTCGTCCTTCCTCTGAAGAGAAGGTCCTCCGGGATAGGGATTTTGGAGAATTTGAATTTCATGACTGTTATCAGGATCAAGGGAAAGCCCAGGATGACGAATATATGGGAGGCGAAATTTTGGGTGTACGCTGCCTGTAACACTAATATGCCCGTAGTCAACGGAAGAGTACTATTTCACATTGGCTCACACCCGAAAACTGATAATGTGCGTTTGCTAATCAATGCTTGGAGGGGTTTCTTGGGTCGCTGATTGCGAGCACCACATTGACTTCGCAAAGGAAGTGCGGGTTTACTGTGGGAGCACGGTAGGTCAAAACCGCAATTTGAAAATTGGCCCGGAGAGGATCTTCAGCAAACTGATTTCGATATCCATCGGCTATATTGTCTGTTTCAACCCGGATTGGGGGTAGCCAACATGAATGATAGCTTGTGCGAGCCGGGGTTTCCATACGATTACGTAGGTACTGTAGAAGATCAGAAGCACTGATCATTAAAAAAAAGCATTAACAATTACTTGATCGCGGTACCGTGCAGCATTAAGGACTTATAGCCTACTACATAGAAGGGACTTAACAGCAATGTGCTAGTGAACGAGAGAGTACTAGCTCACATAGGCTCACACCCAAAAACTGATAATGTGCGTTTGCTAAAAAATGCGTGGAGGGGTTTCTTGGGTCGCTGATTGCGAGCGCCACACTGAATTCGCAAAGGAAGTGCGAGGTTACTGTGGGAGCACAGCAGGTCAAAACCACTATTTGAAGCTTCGCCCGGAAATCTTCAGCAAAATAATTTCATTATGCATCGGACGTATAGTCTGAAGATTGGGGGGGGGGGGGGGGGAGGGGAGGGAGGCGGGAGCAGCCAACATGAACTATAGCTTGTGCGAGCCGTAAGCGTTTCCTATTTACGCTGTGATGATATTCAGAAGTTAGGAAAAACGCTGGAAGCTTTGCATGCCCTAATTCTTACTGTTCGTCAACATTCTCAATCCATTGAAGAACATATCGCTTCAAAAAAAGAGACTTTAAAGGCAGCGTCCCGGCAGAATTTGCATTTCCATCTTTTTGCATGTTTTGGGCCTTCTCGACCCGTAGATCCCGAATCTGAGCCTTAAAAGGGATGAAAAGGCCTTTCTCGGGGCGTTTTTTTCAATTTCCAAAAGGCAGCTCGGACGAGAATTTTCAAAGGATAGTCGGGAGGCCCTGGCATGAAGACCCTGCTGCCCGTAATATTAGCTTTGTATAGCATGCACGATGCGGGAAAGTGGTTGGGGGGGGGGGGGCCCGCGCCGTCTAGCGGAGAATACTCGTCCGAACAAGGTGTTAGGGGAGCGAAAGGAGAAAGGGGAGCGGCGCTTGGGCCGCCCTCCTGGCTCGCAGAGTTCACATTTTCGGCGCGGAGTTGCTATTTTGGTTCACTTGAAGGGCCTCCTATCCATCTGTGTCAAAATCTGAGGTAGGTCAATCTGCCGAGCCGCTGCCTTTAAGCGCGGTGTATTGATAACCGCAAGAGTGTAGCATGCTTATTCCCAGCTATCATTCATCTTGTCGTACACCCACCCGAATAAGGCAAAGCATTTCATGCGATTTAGTGCGTCGGCTTCGCTGCAAGATTTGCCAGCGCTTAGTACTGGTGTTTAGCCAAAGGTCAAGGTGAGGAGACGCAGAGCTAGCGAAATCCACGATAGGTTCTAGAGTAGGGGCTAACGCGAGCTACTGAGGGAAACGGTTAGCCTATATGAAGTATAATCCATTTGTAGATTCTCCGTTCACTAAGCTTACTCGCTGCCCCAACCTTACTCGTTGTCCTGAAATAGATTGACTGGAGAGCGCGAGGGGTGGCACAAGCGATAGTCACGAATTCGATAAGTGAATGATAGAAGATGTTAGGATAAAATGTAATAAATTGTAATCGTGTTGGAAATGTGAGAGCTTCAGACTGCAGAGGCCCGGAAGCAGCGGCTGAATGATCGGCTACCGTATTCGTGAAGTTCAGATGCGTTAGCTGCAGTCCAATATAGACTTTTGATTACGTGGCCCTGTCGTTGTTTGTTTCCACAAAAGTGGACTTGGTAGACATTTTACCCTCCCTTGGAAACAGAGTCAAGCGTGTTGATGCGATCCGGGACCCCCAATTACGACCCCCCCCCCTGAAGGAACAGATCCGTACGACCCCCAGCCCCATCTACCCCCCCCCCTCTACCCCCATACCTCCCCTGCCCACATTCCGCGCGGTAATCTGCATAAGCGAATGTCAATCTCAAAGAACACCTGCGTGAGAACTTCAGTGAGGTTTCTGAAGCAGAATTTCTAGGCCAATGGGTGCGCCCAGCATCTGTAGCACACATACGCACCTTCAATAGTGTTTGAAATTCTGCAAGTTTTTTTTGAATTTTTAGGCATACTTCAGGCCAGCTATTCGGTTCCCGTATGCGACACAAATTTTTGCACGGAGAACAAAAAATTGCATTCTTGAACTACAAAAAATGTTTTCGACTAAGAAGCTTACTTCCTACCTCTTGCGCGGTTTTTCCTGCGAAAAAAACCGCTTTAGCGCCATCCAGAACGATGTCAAAAACGTGCGTGAGCACGGTAGTTTGAAAATTCGTAACTAAGGCCAGGAAAAGACTGAGAGGCTGCATTAAACAGGTTCTGTAGTATAGTGCCCGAATTATCCATAGAAAAAGTTTCAGCCT